CTACTACTACTACTACTACTATTATTATTATTATTATTATTATTATTATTATTATTATTTGTGCCCAGTGCCCCCCACCTTGATTGCAGAATTGCTGAGATGCCTTGGGGGCCCATTGAATGTCCCCCAAGTCCTGCTGGGGACCCCAGGGATTTTGGAGCAGAGGTCAGGGAGAGAGGTGGGAGCTGGAGATGGGGTGCACGGAGAAGGATTGCCCTGCAAGTCTGCTGGTTTCCCTCCTATTCAATCCAGTTTCTCCAGTTGGTCAACCCAGCAACCAGCTTTTCACGATGGGCTTCAGCCAGAAGCACAACTCAGCCTCCCCAACCCTCAGATTAAACCGGGGGACGAAGGGTGATTCCAGTCGCAACTCTTGACCGCGATGGAGCACCCCTGTTCAAAGGCAGTCTATCTTGACCTTCCGGATCAACGCACGCCAGGGGCTTATCCCAATCAGGGTGTGAGCACCCCCTGTTTTCTCTGCCAAATAATGACAGGGGAGAGGCGCAACCCCCAAATAAGACATCCGTGCTCCCTTGAACCAAGTCAGGCTTAAAGGTTGCTTGTTGTCCCCAGCCATGCCCAGGATTGCCCTGCTGAACTAACCTTTTCCTTTGCCAAGCGCACGCCTTTTGCATTTCCGCGCCCAACCTCACAAGCACGCTCATTCATCACAATTAGTCACAAATCTTTATTTTACTCCTGTTATTCTTTGCAAAGAAACCAGGCAGCTCCCTCCCTCTCGAGAGCCTTGATCAACAGGGCCCCCCCTCTTTTTGCTGTGCCCGCGTCCTTCCCAGGCGCCCCCTCCCTTGGTACATTTCTGACCTGACCTCCAAGCAGAGCCGTGTCTGCCGGACGGTAATTGAAAATCGCAAAATTCCCTCTGGGCTCAAGGGTGGCCGCTGGTAACCTGACGCTCCGCGAAGAACTTCTGAATGAAGGTTGGGAGGGGGGAAGACCCCCCCAGCTGCCCCCTCCTTCCCCCTAGCTCCATCTCATTCCTAGCCCTTCCCGGGAGACCCCGTTTGGGTACCGTTCCCGAGACATCACCCGAGTCATGAGGATTAACACAATCCAAGCTGGCCAAGCTGCTCTGATTAATCCAGGACTGACTTTTTTTGGGGGGGGGGGGATGAGATTTGCTGGGCAAAATTGGCAGCTGACACCAGACAGGCGGGGGGGCGGGCTGGATGGATTGAGGTTGGCAGCGTTTCAGGCTTTGAAAAGAAACTGGAGATGGGGGCAGTTATTCCGGCTGGCATGTGTCCGGGGGTCCTTCTAGACCCGTAACAGTTGGACCCTCCCCCCCAAGAGAAAGTTTGTCTGTTTCATAGCTGAAGCTTGTAGCTGTGGGAGGGAAGAAAAATAGTCATTTTTCTGGTTCTCAGAGTTGAGTTTGCAAATGGACTTTCTGGTGGGGCGGGATGGA